ACACACTCCGGAACAGGAAGATACTCTAAGCTGATACTATTATAACAAAAGGATGCTCATTTTAACAAAATCTTAAATAATGTAGCAGCAGCAGAAAGAGAGAAACACATGCATGTAACAGTTTAAACTGATTTGGAAATCAAAGTCTATTTAGGTCCTTAGGGCTCCCATATGCTACTCCCGATCTCTTTTGCTTCAACTCCTCCTGCCACCCCAAAGTCTTGTTCTCCCAGCTGCCAACCCTCAGAGACCCAGCAAAATTCCCAGGTCAGCTTCCTTCCTCTCAAAACCACTCCCAAAGCTGTATCCCTTAATGCCCTCACCAAGCCCTCCCAGAACTTGTTTCCTCCCAGAACGTGAAACCTCTCATTTCCATCCTAAATACTTCATTTTTTCCAGCTGTTTTCCCACAAAACATCCTTGCTTTCTTCACATCCTTTTCTCAAGTTTTAATTTCTTTCCCTGAACTCCAACCCACGTATTTGCTGCAGCTGTTCTAGTTATTGCCTGTATAAAAATTGCTCCTGTTGTTTCTGCTCATGGGCACTGCTCCATTCAGCTAACCATCTTTAATTTTTAATTTTCCCATTGCTGCTTCACTAATAGCTGGTGGTAATTTAAGAAAGCCAGAAGCAGACAGGATTTGTTTTGGGTTTTTTAAATCCTGTGCACCCATGGATCTAAGCTTTGGCATAATTTGGTCACTTCTTACCACAACTGTTTTGAAGGCCTTAGTCCTATAAGCAATGTTAAGGCCTTTACAAGTAAACCGCAGGCAGAGAACTCCATGGGATGCAAGACAGGCTGCCAAAGACACTAAGTGAGGGAAATTCATATCTCCTCCAGCTCCATGGGTAAGAATCACTCCATACGTTGGTTTCTTCTCTGGGACAGAAAAGATAGCATCAAGATATTTGTTTCCAAAAGGTATTTTCACTTTAACCTAGAAATGAAACAAAAAACAATATAATTTAAAAAAAAAAGAAGAAAGCATGTTCCCAGTCTACACATTATGATGAAGAAAAATCGGACAATTAAGAAAGAAACCAAAATTGCAAATCCACTTTTATTTCTTCTGTTTAAGAGTACTAAATGAGTAACTCTACCTCTGGCTCAAATATTTTCCATGCAATAATGGGCAAGTCACCTTATCACTCCACACCTTATTTTCTCCATTAGAAAATGAACCATCCCTAGCTTCAAAGGATGCTTCAAGGCATAATCTGAAATGCTTTCTACCTTCTCTATATATCTATATCTAGCTATTCAAGAGCTAACTCCCATAATTGACTTGACTATTAAGTCTTCCACAACAAGAAAAATTAACTCTTCTATAAGATTTAAAAATAAATAGGAAATATGAACTCTTCTATAACTAGAGTTTCCTGTAGTGGAAAAAAGCATTTTTATCTCCCATCTCTCACAGACATTATTAAATAAAAGAATTAAGGACGCCTCTAAACATTTATTACAACCAAATTACTTTGGGTCTGTAGAGCCATATGGAGTATACAGGATTAAGAGAACTCCATGCTGGCAGCAACTGTTTAATCCTGTAGCTGTAGGATCCATGTACAAGCTTGATTACATAGGGAAAAGACTAAAACAGAGTATTATGAAAAACAGATTTGAATACACTAGTTTTAGATATTACATGCAACTATAAGAAAAAAAACACAGGAATTACTTTTTTCATTAAGAGTTCAATAACAAATATTGGCAGATGTCACAAGATACATATTTCATTTATTTGTATAATCGATATTCTAAGATAAGCAAGGCACTTACTCCCTAACTAGCAGCCTAAACCACAGAAATATAAGACATGAAGACACAGCCCAGCAAGCATTTCCAAATTACACAGTGGTAACCACTCAGTGGAACGGCAGCCTGCTTATAGTCAAAGACTGAACTTTCCGCAAGGATGGGAGAAAGACAGCACAGGTTCAGACAAAGCCAGCTGCAAGCTGGCGGAGGGCCTCCGGTCGTGACAAAGATCGGGAGGAGCTGAATGAGACACAAGACCAGCTGATGTTGAGATGAGTGCCAGAGGACTGGACAGCACATGTGCCCCTGTACGTGCTGCAGCTTCTGAAAGCAAAAAGGAAAACACCCCGGGGCTGGGATGAAACACTATTTCATGCCACCGCCGCCTCCCAAAGGCTCTCCCTGGCAGCGGTCCTACAGGGGCACTGCGCGCAGGGAAGGAGGAGGTTGCCAGTGGCCTCACGGGGCTGCTACCTTGAGTCTCCGTCCACCCGAAACGGGTGGAGGACGCCAGAGAGGGGACGGCAGTCAGACGTGGGGGACAGCCCGCAACCACCCCTGTCTGTACAGGG